CTGTGCTTTGGAGTTTTACAGCACGGTATCACTGAAGACCTAAACTGTAATAGTGTCCCTGCTGTCACAATTCAAATGTAGCCTTTTAAGGGGTGGAAATGGTGGGTGGGACCTTAACGATACAGCTGAGAGCTTTTTCAGGTATTTTTGAGCCGGAGATGCCAATGCCTGCCTAAATGAAAATCCCATGAAGGGGTTAGGGCTGAGAAAGTGGCTTCATCTTGCAAATAATTGCAGCGATTTTTGTGGCTGTCACTATTAGAGAGATTAGTTTCAAACTGCTTTGTTATTCGGGTTTTTTTTTACATTCTCTGACATGGTCATTAATGCAACATCCCCCAAGTCGTGATGCTGCTTAGCTTGCCAAGAGTGAAATTCAGCTGCTTTTGCCCTAGCCACCCGAAAGTTTAAATTGGCTATCTGAGTTCTATCTGTACGTAAAGAAGCAAAAGTAATCCAGCTCCAACAGAGAGGGGAGAGATAACTCACTGTATCTAAAACCAAGCTTTTAAGCTAAGTGGGTTGAACTGCCTTCTGCCTCTCTTTACAGAGTGTAACAAGAACTGAATTAAACAGTTCAGAGTGGATGCCTACTTCTTTGGTGGCTGAATTTAGAAAAGAGCTACCTTACTGTGTGGCTGACATATAAGAAAAAGAAATTCAGGTGTTCACAGCTACTACAAGCTAAATTTTAGGGACCCTGTTCCTTGTAGTAGGTGCCTGCGCTGCCAGCTCTGAGCATGGAGGGGATTAGGTGCCTCTGAAAACCTGTGTGCTGAGATCAGGACTGCCTGGAGCATGCAAAGGAGAAGCTCAGTGCTTAGCGAGGTGACACAGCTCACCTGCAGCCTGCTCTTTTCTGGGATCTTGGAGCCTGTGACATCCACATGATGCTTCCTATCTGCGATGTGTAGGAAATCAGGTGCTTTCAGAGCAATTAGGACTTGTTAAACAAATGCCTGTTGACTGAGATTTGTGTGTTTTTCAAGTCCTGTGAGGTAGAGGGCTACAGTGTATGACCCATAAATGCATCTGAAAGAGGAAAAAGTAGCTAGGCACCATACCCTACTGCTTCAAGCTTTCAGATAGGCAATTTTAGGATGTGGAGGTTTGTTGCATGTAAATCTGCCTGTGTATTTCAGACAACAGTCACAGAATAGAAAAAGAAGTATTTTGAATGACAACCTGGAAGTCCTTTCCTCCCAACTAAGTACATGATCTACTCAACTGCAGAGCCTCTGTTGCTCTAGATCCCATTTAAAGTCTACTGGGACACTTGTATCTTGGTGAGAGTAGGACGAAATGGAAGGGGTGAAGAGTTCATCTCCCATTTTAGCACGCAGACACGCAGGCGGAGAAGCATCAGGAGCTGCAGGTGCAGCCTACATTTTGGGTTCTGCTGGATGCATTCATGTTAAAACTGAATCATTTGGTCATTGAGCATGAACTGAGAATAAAGTTCCTTCTCATTCTTTGAGAATAAAGTGAAGGGGTAGTCTCCAAAGGAATCCTTCGAATTACACCAGGTAATGGCCAGACTGTGCTTTTATGTAGGAGCTCTAACTATAGGAAGAGAACTGTAATGTTTTAAATTAAGTGCTATAATTATAGCTAGTGGATTTGCTTTATTTAGATTTCCCTCTAAGTTTAATAAACTGCTTTAAAGCATTTAATAAGACCTAGAAAAATATGTAAGAGAAGTACAACTAATCCTATTAATGGAAAACAGCATTTCAAAGGAAAGTTTTTGTTGTTAAATTCCTGCTGCTGATTTCTGTGAAACGGAAGAGATGTTTAAGGAAGCTTTGGAAACTAGGTGGTAAGTGACACTTACCCTTGATCTGAAATGCCTAAACATGCAACATTGTTAGTACAGCTGAACGGTGACCTTCCAGGCTGCCAATACAGACAAACACACATGCTATATCAGGTAAATCACACAGAAAGAGATTTCCTGAGGGGTTTGTTAAAGCCCAACTCATAGGAAATGATGGCGATTAACTCATTAAGGTCTGTCTGCCTTTTTGCATGTGAGCTCTCCACACAGCTGTAAGGATAATTAGTTTCCTTTAGCTTAGTGAGTATTAAGGAATATTAAAATGCTTAGTTTTTATGGACAACAAACATTCTTGGGGTCTGGGAGAAAACCCCACAGAAATGCAAGCAAACCCCCTTAGTCTTTAAACTGACATAGAGTCCTGATTCCCAGGTAGATATGATGCGTTTGTTGTGTTTGGATACGTTCTGTCAGATGGCTTTGTAATAAATGTTACTGGCTTCATCTAGGGAAAGGATTTGTCTAGGCAGAACCAGATTAAAGCATCAGTATCCTGTTCTGAATTAGATTTCAGTAATGCAGACATGGATGTGCACCCTGTTAAATAAGGGTACCCTCTATTCTTGCATGTTACTGTATTTGTATGATAAAGTGGGTAATATAAAGTCGCCATCATTGCCTCATGTCCTGTCTTCAGCCTGATACGCTCACATCAAATCACACATCTACACACCATGTTGTTTCAGCTCTGCGCAGTGGCTCTGTGGTCCATGGAGTGTTGTAACACTCTACCCTTCCAAGCGGGTTTTGGACTATTCACTGCTACAGGATTCTCCCCAGCCAGAGCAAGGATGGCTCAAAAATTATTTGAGGTCACCTTCAACTTTGTTTTTCCTGCCAGGAATAGGAAGAAATCACTGAATCTGAGACAGTATTGTTTGGAATGAACGTTGCATGGGCTTATTGTGAAAGAGAAAGGATTTACTTGTCAGATAGGACTTAAATTATTATGTACAATATGAAAGATGACATTTCTGTATTGCTGGAGAAAGACAATTGATAATTTGGTAAAAGGCCAAGACACACAATATTCACCTTTGTAATTTATCATCTCAAAGAAACAGAAGTCGTATAGGAGGTACCTGACCAAAACAGTTTTTAAGCAGAAATGAAAGCTGGTTCATATTAATGCATTTAGCATGAAAGGTCTTATTAGGAATTTGCTGTTACCAACAGTAAACATGTAAAAATCTGAAGTTCCTAGTTAAGACTGTAGGAAATCTACAGAAAAGCTACAAATGATAAAAGAGAGGAATTTCCACATTAATAATATCAAAAAAGGTTTTTAAGACTAGGCAGATTAAGGTCACTAAAACAACTTCAGCAGTTCCTGGAAAGAACTTAAAGTCAAATCTTCTTCCTCATTGAATACAGTCTTAGGGGAAAAAGAAGTGTACAGGCTCTTCTAATACATGATTAAACATCACATTGTAAAAGAAGTCATATCACCTCCTTTACAAAGATTCTGTGTGCTAAACATGTTGCACAGATGGTCTCAGGGACAGTTCTGATGTGTCATGTATACACATTTCTTTGGCTCTGTTACATGGACATAGTGCATAACTATGGAAAAGCTTAAAAGGGAATCATGCTTTCCAGCAGTGTTTATTTTGCTGCCAGGCAAGAAAGAGGTTGTCAAGCAGCAGAATGTGTTCTTTAGCTTTTGAACCAAGAGAGCCTTATGTCTGCAAACATGTCGTACAATTTTCTATTTTATGAAATAAAATATGAACAACAGAAGATGAAAACCCATAAAAGAATAAGAAGTACAGGAGATGCTGCTCATTTCATGAAATGGCTGCTAAAATAAATGCAGGATTCTTCATTACTACTAAGGGGTACAGAGCAGTTAGTAGCTGAGGTTTACTGGATACCATCTTCTGGTCTGGCAAAATTTTGGAGACCAAGGACTTCTCCTGCTTTCTGTGCTCTTGCCTACTCTTCCAAGGGATAGAGTCCCTCTCAGCTGTTTTTTTAACCTTTCCTTTCCTTTGTAGTAATGCAGATCCCACCTCCTTCTTTACCCCAAACATTTTTACCTATTCAACTGGACAGCTCTGATGCAGAATACACGATGCTGAGATTTAATCAGATCAGTAGTACTGGCATTGTTTGTGTCGTATTGCAAGAATTTGTGGGTGGGTGGCTAGGAGTGTTGCAAGTGTGACAGGTCCTGCATTTGTGATACTGCACTTTTTAGCATGTAGGTAAGAGCATTTTCATCAGATTTGAGGGCTTTAACATCAATGCATAAACATAGAGCTTCCCCCTATCACAATTCTTTAAACACTTAAAATGGTACTTTAAAATGGATTTGCAATTTGTATTCAAAATTGGGATCTATGTAAATTGCAGATTTTTCAAAGTCTAAGAAGAAAGAAAACAGCCAGGTTCTAAGATTTTTCTCTCATAGAAGAATTTGCGTTGCATCTCATTATGGTACGAAATTGTCCTTGTCAGAGCAACGTACGTAAACATTTCAATCTGATTATCTCAGTTTTGTCAAAATTGTGGAAATTAAATTAAAACTTGCTTCATACTGCAAGCCTAAAGATGGGAACAGACTTCACTTTAGATTTGCCTGTATCAGATATTGTGGTCTACCATTTTACCATATGAATTCAGAGAATCAAGAGTTAGTCACCACTCTGGTGTTTTTCAGCCTTCGTGTTGCGATATTACAATAAGAAAAAGGAAATATAATGGGGGGATTTTCCCAGTTTCAGAAGTCATTGCACTTGTATTTACTTCTGAACCATTCTTGACAGCTTGCCACAAATATGACACCCTAAACATACCCTTATGCCATGCAATACATGTGCTTATGTCTCATGCTATAAAACACTACAGGGGGCTTCATCTCAGGAATCCCTTATTGCATGCACTTCAAAATCAAAAGAAAAATAGAAAACAACTGTATTTCAAGGCACAATTTAGGATCTAGAATGTGTTGGGCCCAGCAGTATGAGGTGTGAGTCAGTGCATACTAGCATTGAGCAGTCTGGACAAGAACCAGTCAATAAGACCCAGATGAGTAGCCAGACAACCACGAGTTGGCTAAAACCAGGCTAAAGCCATAGCTTTCAAATAGGAAGCTGGTACTCACCGGGTGCTGGTATTTAATTATGCTTTAAGGTTTTCTTGCTTGTTTTGACTTTTTCAGAACCTGAGGCGGGAGAGGTGTCCCCCCCAGTGGGAGCTGGTGTGAACAGCAACAGCTGGACCTTTAAATTTGGACCGGGCAATCCCAAACAAAGTGGTCCTGGTGAGTTGCCAGACAAATTCATTATCCCAGGATCTCCTGCAATCATCTCCATCCGGCAGGAGCCACCAAACAGCCAAATTGACAAAAGTGACTTCATAACCTTTGGCAAGAAGGAAGAAACCAAGAAAAAGAAGAAAAAGAAGAAGGGGAACAAGACTCAGGAGAAAAAAGAAAAGGGCAACAGCACCACTGAGAACAGTGACCAGTGAGGGGTTTATACTGAAAGAAACCATTTAGCCAGTTTTTGTAATAATGGCAGATTTCTCCTATGTAGCAACTCCCAACTTCTTCCTATTGTTAACAAATTTTCTGTATGTACAGACTTGAGAAAATGAGCAGGAATTTCACAGTGTCTGTCTAAATTGCTTAACAGGTTTTGTCTTAAAAGCTTTATTAAGTCTGGTGTTAACTCTTTTTCTCCGCTCTGGCTTGTTTTCAGAATCTAAAAAGCAGACACAAGTTTCCTTTCTCCTACGCCGAAAGGGAGAATCTTCACAGTACAGCCAGTGAGAGGTTGGACTCTGCACTGTGGTTCCTGTGCTCCTGTCTTGATGACACTTACAGGACAGGTTTAAAAGTTTTAATGTTGTGCACCCTCTACCTGATTGGAAATATTTGTGTGCAGATGTCAGATAGATTATATGAGATCAGATTATAAAATGCAAGAAGAGCTGGTAAATATGCAACAGAGGAAACACCTAATGAACACAAATGTTCAAAGATGTTCAGGCTGGGGAGGAAATGTCTGAAAGGAGATGACCAGACTTTTCAAGTCTTGAAAAGTCACTGTGTGGAAATACTGAGTCCTATATATGACGTATTATACACACCCCTGCAAATAAAACCTCACATTTACAGCTCTTTAAGATACCATAAATTTTATCTTCTACCAAGGAAGCCATTGGGACAATTGTCCCTTGAAGCCCTGCATTACCCTGGCATGGCTAGCCCTCAGAGTGTAAGAAGAGCTGGGCTGACATCCCAGGAATGTAACTGACTGTGATGCTCTATGTCCCTATTTCCACTCTAACATGATTTTGCACATTATGTCTCTGAAAAGGTCAGAGTTTTTCCACGACACTTATGCAAAAGAGAGAAAAAAGAAATGTTAACTATGCTGTTTGTTATTTGAGATATTTATTTATAAAGAAATATAGCTGTAAATGTTGAAGAAATATGATGCCCTTTAACCCAAACAGAAGACAATCTAGAGCCATTATAAATTACAATTGCTGCTATTAAAGTGCTTTAGAAAAATTGCCTGAAACATCTGTACTATATCGGCCACTTGCCAATAACAGCTTTATTCTGTCGGGTGACTTGGGGGCTGCCTCTTGCATGTATTAATAAATACAAGAATATCTTTTCTCTTTTTTTTTTTATTTTTTATTGCATTGATCTGCACTTTGAATACACCTTTGCAAACAAACTGTCCTCATATGAAGAAGCAGAAGCAAACTCCTCACACAAATGGATTTACTTACCTGCTAGCTTTGTGCAGTACCTTCGTGTTACCTCCTACACAACCTTTTCTGATTTTAGTTTAACTTTTCTATGAGATTATGAATTTCTGACCCTATTAACACTCATTATGTAAAATTCAAGTACTGTATGTATGCTGTATGCTCTTATAAGAATCCTGAAATATTTATTCTGTGCTTGTGTATGTGAATGTCAATGCAACTATTATTAGAGTGGACATTAAGCTTTACCGTTGAATGTAAATTCATTATTTCTTTTTTGTACACTTGTGGAAAAGTGGAGTAGTGTTAATTTTTTAAGCCACTGTTGATTATCAGTTTTTTGTGTATGAAACACAAGTAAAATATCTTTCTTAAATCAAGCTATGCATGCATTTGAGGATTTATTGGTAGGAATCTGTGAAGCTTAAGCTCTGTGAATTACTAAATCTAAGGGTATAAATGGAGTGCTGAATGTGCTTGAGGATGTTGATATAAAACCAATACATGTATTTTTAAATAGCATATAGCTGATGAGGGAATTCCAAGGAGTTTTCTACGTTATTGTACATTCACAGAATAAAGCTGAAGTGTCATATTAATTGGAACTGTGTAAGAAGCTACATAGCTCTAAGATTTCTAACAGGCCCTTTAATCTAGCATCAAAGAGAACAACTGGATTTCTTGAGACACGTCCTGAATGTTTTAAGTTTCCAAACTGCTGACAGTTCAGAATAGGACAATTCTCATTCATTTTTAAGAACCTGCAGCAAGTCTTAAAACACCACAGAAGGTACAGCGCTAATAAAAGAACTCGTATGTCAGAGCATGAACCACCAATGGCCTCATGTGGTCTATTTAGAGTTTTCTTGTGCTACCAGTCTTGGTTTACTGGCAATGAAAAAGAGGATACTTGAGAAAGAGAATCCTTGATTCAGTTCTAAAGGCTAGCCAAGATGAAAAAACATAAGATTTGGGGAGGGAGCTGTTCTTTCATGCAAGTGTTCTATGCAAGTACATTTAGACTGATTTTTTTATTTAGTGACTAATCCAACCATTTCCAAAATGTTCATGCACTGGAGTTATGGGGGTAACTCCAACACATAGAAGGATACTCTTGGTTTGTTCTCATCATAAGGTAGTTCTCCTCAATGCCTCTGGCAAAAATCCAGCACAAAGATTAAAATCTTACAGGAATCGTTAATATTTGATTATTTTTAGATATTAGGCTAATCTTTTTTTTTTTTCTTCTGAGCGCTTCCCTTTTCCTCTATACAACCTAATCTGATTAATTTTTCACCCGTGGTCATATGAAGCTGATTTTCAAAAGTTTGCTTCTGTCAAAATGAACCAAGAGCTGCACTATGTCCGATTTGCCTGTTTTAACACAAACCTACATTTGCCAGTGCTGTCTTTGCTGCAGATGTTTACTGCTGGAGGTATTTATGCTTGCATAATTTGGTAGTCAAAAGCAGAATATGTGAAGAGAAGCATTCCAATATAGAGATCTGATAGAACAGCAGAAAAACTCTCAGAGGAGAAAAGATGCTCTTACTGGCATAGTTTAAAAGGAGGCTGGATTGCACCAGTAGGATACACATTACACAGATTCACTGTATTTTCAGAAGACTGAATCAGGCAGCTCACCAGATTTTTAGGAAATTTTTCTGTATTTGGACCCTATAGTACAACTGGAATGCTGAGACGTTTTAAGTGAAATTTGACTATTTCAAAACTACTGTACAAATTATACCATTGACATCCTTGATTTTGGTGTCCAGGAGGAGGAGAAGCCCTTGGCACAAAGTGTTTGTGGGGTAGGAAGGGGGCAGACTTTGCACATTCTGCCTCAGTTTTGGGGGGTGCTGCTTAAATACTATGTGACAATGAGAACTGAGAATCAGAGGTGGCCAAGACCAATAAGAACCAAGACACAAAAGTCTCTTTTGTTCTCTTGCTGACAATGAAAGGAGCAAGACAAAGTACACTGCAGAATTTGTTAACAAGATAATTGCAGTTCTGGGGCCTTTTACCACCTGAACAATTTGTTTCTCTCAGAATCCATGTATTTTCTGTGAGTAAATTGTCTTTGGAAGTCTGTTTTTATGCATACAAGATCAGTGAACAAAACTATTGGGCTTTTATAACAATTAAGTCTGAGTTATGTTGTATATTAATTACATATTGACATTAAAAAGATATCTTACTTTACATTAGGTTTCTTTCGGCTCAGTATTTGGGTCATTGCACATCACAGGGGAGGATCCAATTGAAGTTTTCCAATGTTCTTACTTAAGGGGAAGAAAATAGAACCCCAAATGCATTTCCCAAATATTATCTATGAAAATCCATTACGGAATTAATTGCAGTCAGCATTGGTATCTTTTAGGATCATCTTTCATTTTCCCTTCTTTTTCACTCATTTGATGCATTTCAAGAACTGCTTCCTTTTTTGGAAAAAGCTGTTACATGGTTAATTGACTTTCTCCCCAGGAGAAATGTGAGTAAACTACCTTTATAGAACAGTGCTTTTTCTATAGGATATATAATTCATGTTGGCCGGTCAAAAGGTTAGTCCTGCACATTCTAGGACTTCACAGTCTCAAAGTTCCAATAAATAGCATTTCCTCTAGGAATCCTCACTATGTTTGCACCCTAATCTATATGTAACATAATTAGGTACATAATGAGTCCATGATTCTTCTTGCTTCATGTCATCTAACACTCCAGTTAGAGTTTTCACTGTTTGTAAAATCACTTGTTCTCTAACTATAATTGCATTCTTCAAATGTAAAGTCAATGACTGCCTTTCTTTTATACAATTGGCCTCACTTACTTTAACCCAGACATGTTTGTGTCAACAACTGGGTAGAATAAACCATGTACATTCTTCCTTCCTAATCCCTGGCAGCCTCGTTCCATCTCTTTTGGTGACGTTTTGTGTGCCTCAAGTGTTTCGGCACCACTTGAGCAGCACTGAGGAGAATTAGAAAGTCCTTCCCCGTTAATTACAGGAATGGTGCCACACAAGAAGCCCAACAAGACAGAGTAATTGTTAAAACGCATCAATCACACAGCCACCCTAGACTTCTAATCCTGCAATAGTTTTTCTATTAGGTAAACCCTTCAGCTTTTCTGGGACTGAAATTCCGCTCATGCACCCACAGTCTGGGGGAAACTAGACTGAAAATGTGTGTAGATATAATCTTAACTAAGCCCCTAGTGCATCATAACCCTCCTTTAAGAAAACAAGAAGCAATCCCTGCCTTGAAGATCTTTTTTTCTGTCAGTGTTTAAGGAATCCTACCTGAAGTTTCTCTGCCTGTGAAATGGTGTGCTGAGCAGTTACAAACCAAATCAGTTCTGTACTTGGACATAAGGCTTTTCACACATCATTAGTCCTACCCCCACATTATCTATGCTGTCAAAGTCATTATTGACTGGTGTCAGAACCTTCCCCTTCATCACCTATGGTATGAACAGCCTTAGGATTATTGAGGACCCAAGACCTCATTCTCACGGGCTGGCACAGGAGGCTCAGGCCCTGTCTGGAGCAGCTATGCCAACCTGGCCCTTCCCAGACACTGTGAAACCCAGCTGTGGGGAGCTTCAGCTGGCATCAGGGCCACATCATGACAGGATGAAGGGGCTTAACTTTGTTGAACTTGCTGTCAGATCCCTCCCTTGTGGTGTGGAAATTACCTGGGGTGCATGTTAGGTAAGGTACAAGCCTAAAACCATGAAATTCTGTTTGTCTGCCTAAAAGGGACAACATTTAGGTACTCACATTTGAGGAAGTGATCCACAGAGCTCCTGATGGCTGTTTACTGGGTAAAGATGAGCTGCCTGACCCCAAGAGCGTATAAATTGTGTTAGATCACTTATTTGTAGACTCACAAAAGTTCTTTGTAGGACTGAATTTAAGCTGCCACCAAGCATCACCAAAGCTACCTTGATCTCTCAAAGCCACATGTAAGGATATTCTGTTAATCTACTTCAATGCAGTTGCAATATAAATGCAAACCTGAGGTTAAGCTGCATCTTACACTGAAGGGTGACTGCACTGAGAACTGGTGGGCACAAGTATCTCCCTCTGTTTTCAGAGAGTAAATGGCACAAAAAGGTGAAACCAGTTTTATTTTTATCGTCAGGCTCCCTGCAAACACACAAGGAGGTCTGAGCTAGTCACATATGATCATATTCTGTCCAGCAGCACAAACAAGGAGACATTTATTAGCCAGAAAGCGCTGGGAGTGTTATGTGGGTCGGTTCTTCCACAACATTAGATGATACAGGAGATTCAAAGTGTAAGAGCTCAACCCAGGGCACTAAAGGCACTTACTTTCAGTCAGAGGGAGGGGCTATTCTGCCTATAGACCTTGCTAATAGCCCCCTGGGTCAAACAGGCTTTCACAAATAGCCTGTATCATCTGCATAGCTGTCAAATGCGCTGTTTGGCTGATGCAGGAATTGCTGACCTGTGAGTTAGATTGCTCCAATTGTTTGTACCTAAGAAAAAAAAAAATCCCACAAAATATATTTGCTTATGCCCTTATTGTGCACTCTGGGCTCCCTCTGTGAACCTGCCAAGCCATGGCAGCGCTGGCACTCATTAGTATGCACACAGGCTAATGCAAAGCAACCTGGAAGTAATGGGATATTACAGTGCTATAGTGCAAAGCCTTTACAGCCTGATCAATATTGATGGTGAAGTTAGTTCTGCGCTGATTAAATTACAAAGCAAAAGCACCGCAGCAAGTGAGTTTTGTGGTGGAACACTCACTGCTACAGTTTCATTTCACCATTTTCAGCTCTTGGAGATGTGTCAGTTCACATTTCTCTGGCTGACTGGTGACTTAGGACAACCCCTCCAAAATGTAGACATGCTGTCAAGATTGTCTTCTGCATGACAAGGACAAGCATGAAATCACAGAAATAAAATAGGAATTTGATCCTGCAGTGAGCAAATGGCACCATGTCTTTTATCAGCCTCTAGCTTTTCACAGTAATGAAATGTAGCATGCCACAATAAAAGCTGGGGGCAAATTTGCCTTCTCTGGCATGTTTTGAAAGCAGCGCAGCATTAGAAACACTGGTTTCCTCAGTCGGTACAAGACATTTTCTGCTACAGTAACATAAATGAGCTTCTTTCTCAAATACATCCAGCAAGGTCACTGTGATCATATTACTGCTTTCCTCCCTCTCCCCTCCCATCCTCCCCCCGCCCCCCCCCCCCCCCCCCCAGTATAAGATCACTGTGATTCACTATGAATATGGCTAAGAAAAGGCACATATAGGTTCAAGGCATTAACAGGCACTATTTCTTTTCCACCTGAGCAATGTTAATAACTAAGCGTCTGTTCTTTGTCTGTTTCTGCTGCAGGCGATAACCACACCAGATCCTACAAAGAAATGAGTGCATGAGGGCATGCTGCTTTTAGAGACATGGTCCAGAACTGGCAATTTTAGGTTGCCTACTTAAGAATCCAGCACTGTTGGAAAATATCTGCTAGTCCCACTGAGCATACACAACCAGGGTTTCTTGTATGGCAGAACCTATCCTGAACAATGAAACACAGTTTTATACACATTTAATGGTTTT